GCCAGCACAACCACACATGGTGATGCAGTTATCTGCCCTTCCATCAGCTCCGCTTCAGGAGTCGGAACGGAGAAATTGGTTCAAGCACAAAAGCATTGCAAATATGCTATCAGTGCAATGGAATATGAGGATATTCCCACTGCGATAAGCAACCTCGAAAATGCATTGCTAATTTTGAAAACGCACACATGAGCAGGACAATTTTGATTCTTCGTTTTGTCACCTTTGGCTCACATGCTGATGCGTCACCTGATCAAGATGTAATTCTTGTAATCAAAGTTAACCTTTTAACTGTATGAAGTTGCGACGTATTCTATCGTTGATTGTAGAAATGCTGTATTTCCAATTTGTCAGTATGTTGGGTTGATTCGCTTACTGATGTTTTCTACATCTTGTGTCTTCTAATAAAGAATTCATGTACAGGATAACTGCTAATGCAGAAGTGATGTGGAGACTATTCAGAGCGGCAAGTGATTTTATTGTCGGTCCTCATAATCTTCCATTCCTCTCCGGACAGCAAAATGAACAGAATCTTCCTGCACATTACCTCACAGTGATTCAAATGGTTTTCTTAACGTGAATATGGAATATGTCGTAGGTTCTGATAAATCAACAAAAGACACCATCCTTATTAATTGCTAACAATCCTAATCGTATTTCCTGCTGACGCGGTCGAGGACGATGAATTACAGGAGCGTCACAGATTAGCTTTTAAAAAACGGAAGAATGCGCAATTAATATAATTTTCTACGAAATGAGCATCGTTTCATTTTACAAGTTTGTACAAAAAATGGAGGGTAACAAGACATTACCTAAAAAGGTGACAAACAAGAGTTGAAAATACAGCTACTCAGCGGTCAACAAACAACGGAAATCACGTTTGAAACGTCCTTCACGCAGTTTCCAGAATTATACACAACGAAACAGCACTGAAGTTGTAGACGGAACAAAGCGTAAAACTGAAACGTAGACAGAATGCGGTAAGCAGCCGTTGGTCATCACTCATTTCCACTACGTGAAAAAGTAGTTAAATTTCCAAGCCAGCGTTGCGTACTGCGAGGACCGCTGTGGACCATGGATGGGAGCCGGTAGAAAGGGTGGTGTTTAACCATTATGTACGGCTTTCACAGTTAAAGGCAATGGTTCTGTAGCGGAGTTGGAGGCAGCTGCGTCGTTACTTGTTCTGTTGGTTTTGTCGGGGTGGGGGGCGGTGGATGGAGAGGCCAGCTGAAGTGGGGAGCGGAGTGGAGCTTTGATGGGATTGGCTGCAGCAGAGCAAGGCGTCTTCTTGTCAGCGCCTGTCAGTTGTATCACTGCTGCCTTTTTCAGGGACGCTGTCGTTTCGGTCAACTTCGACACTACGGTGCTGATCTTATTGCCACTGCTGAGGGGGCGTTTGTTCGTCGATGTGGTTTTCGTCATCGCTCTAGTCCTCTCAACGGCCGCTTCCACTTTACACTTGTCAGTTAGCCGAGCGTTCGATGATGACGAGTGACCACCCCCACTACCGCCAGAAGTGGTTTTGTTCTGCAAGTCCATCAACAGCTGCAACTGCGCCATCGCGGCCATGTTCGATGGGAATATTCCCAGCTGCGGTATCATGATACCGGCGGCGGCTAACAATGGATTGAGACCGAAGATGCCGCTGGACAATTGAGAGTTAGACAACAGATATTGACTGAACAACATCTGGGCATTTCTTTCCAAGGCTGATTCGGCGCTTTCGTTGTCCTTGCTAGATTTACCCTATAAAACGAAACAAGATCACAAATCATGACCACATAAAGTAGCTGCAGACGCATATCAACTCACCGAAGCTGCCTCAGATCTCTGAGTGGTCCCGCCGGCAGTGGAAGGCTTTTCCCGTAAATTTTCAGAAGATGCATTTTGAAAAAATGGAAATCCGGGCAGACCGAGGAAGTTTTGAGCAGCCGAAAAAGGGAACAACGATGACATCTGTAAAGGGTCGATCTGACTGGCAGCGAAAATATCAGATGCCGAAGTCGACGCTACCGGTGCTGAAGACGAACAACTAGGGGCCGTCGAATGATGATTCGCAGCTAACCTATTGCCTCCTTGTCTTGAACCGTCGTCTTCGCTTGGCTTCACCTGAAAACACTCATTGAAGTTCACAGCATTCCTTACCAAAAGCGCATCAGAGATGATGTAACAGAAAGCGAAAAAATACTATGCAATATAAAAATGCAAAATCAAAATGAATAAGTACATTTATGTTAAACAGCATATTAATGACATTTACTTTAAGAATGTTATAAACCTGATGACTAAAAGAATGCTAGTGATGATTAGACTTAGCCTAAACTTAAGATCTCTGGTTCCTGTTTTCCTGCGTAAATCAGCTTTACAAGAATTGTAACAAGCCGACAATACAGACACTCAGCAATACAGCAGTAGAACGGACAATTGATCGCTAAACGCAGATTGCCTCTTTTTTTCTTTGGTGCATCACGGTCGACATCTGTATTCTGTAAAGCTCAGCTTACTTTCGTGCAAAATCAGTTTCTACAAATCTATGCCATTTAACTCTTATCCATAATGTGTCGTGAAA